CATCCCGGGCCCGGGGCGCTTCCCCTTCGCGACGCCCTGCCCCGGGCGGAGCCTCGCTCTGGCTAACATTCTGGTCCATGGCAACGGCGCCTCCAGGGAGCCCTGCACCCCAAGGAGTGGCTGACTGCCAGGTGGGCACGGATGTGCGAAGCCACCCCTAACACGAGGTGTCGCTGCTGCACCAAAGGCCTGAGAGAAAGGTCTGCGGGGTCTCCCGCCACCGGCCTGGGGGTGTCTGCCGTTTGGGCTCGCCCCCGGGGACGCGCTCCAGATCGCCAGGCGCACGCTCCCCGGTGGCCTGGCGTCCACGTGAGTCGGCACGAGGGACCGGGACCCACGGAGGGCAGCAGTGGTGGCAGCCACGCGACCGCAGAGTCTGTTCCCTCAGCGACAAGGACGTAGGTCACACCCCGCCACACACAGCGGACCCCGCCCCCCCTCGGTGGCTATGCGCAGATGGCGTGCGAGGGTCGCGGAGACACGAAGCCCCCTGCTTTGTCGCCTTTGGCAGGCTTCTTCCTTGTCACTGTGCAAAATTAGGCAAAGCCTGACATTTAGTTTTTTTAATATGAGCAAAATAAATGACCCAGGAAGCCACTGTGCGCGCTGGGGCCCGCGGGCGCGTCCACAATGACCGTGATTCACCGCGGCACCCGGGGGAGCGAGGCCCGGGCTCCGGGCGGTGGCTGGGTCGGGGGCTTTACACGAGCAGAACATGACATTTCTACCAAGTTACACGGACACAGGGCGGACGGCAGGTGCCCTCCCACAGCACGGAAGGCATGACGTCGGAAGGGAGGGCCCCGCGCGTCCCACGCGGCGGGGTCAAGGGCAGCGCAGCCGCTTCTCCGAGCTCAGGGTTCCATCTCGGCTGGCGCGTCTCCACAGCGGTCGGCCTCCCGGGTCTTGCTTCTCACGGGTCTACACTAGGAGCCAGTGGCGCAGCTGCAAAGAAAATGTTTGTTTTTCAGAAGTGGAGTGCCTGGCAGCTGGGAGAGGCCTCAGCCGACAGGACGGCGAGGACGCAGTGGGCAGCTAATGGGGCTGGGTGGGCATAGCGCCTGGGGCGCCACAGACCTGGTGCCCACTGAACCTCACTCACCTTCATGAGTCATTGCTTGAGCAAGAGAATTCGGGGAGATGTCTGCAGCGAGGGGTCCGCCCACGGACCAGCGCCCTCCGTGGTCCCCCGACAGTGTGATACCAGCTGCTGGCCACACCTGGGGCTAGTCCCAGAGCGCACCCCATCGGCCCGCGCATCCCCTGCAGTCCTCCCCATCCCAGGTCCCCGAGGCCACTTTCCTGGGGGCGCCGGTCCTCCCCAGTGAAACGCTGTGCCCCGCAGTTCCAACTGGCTCATGTGCCTGTCATAGGTGTGTGAGCAGGCCTCCTCTACAGCTCAAGACGGATGAGATGACAGGACACTATTAAGCTTTCCGGCAAATGTCATCGCCTGTCATTATGCAGCTGGGAGTCCAGCCTATTTTTGAGCACAAGCCCTTCGATCACACTAAAGGGCAAGAACTGGGTTTTTAAACACTCAAAACAACAGCAGGCACGGCTTCCTTGGGACCCAGCCACCCTGGGGACAGGGAGATGCTTGGTCTGCCACAGGTTGCCGGGAACACGCCACACCCCGAGTGAGTGCGACTCTCGGATTTCAGGGCAGCTCAGTAAGAAACGTCTTTGAAGTGACATATGCAACTTACAGTGATGCGCATTTCACAAAAAAACAGGCGGACCAAATGAAACCTCCAGGGACGAAGTGAAAGTGTAGTTTTCAGCAAAGTGGGATCCAGCCAGGGGGACAAAGGCAGGAGGACGTGGTTTACACGGTCACTGTCGTGCAGCCTTCAGCGTGGGTGACCCGCAGCCACACACAAAGACACTTCTGATCAAGATGGAGTAACAGGGACTGAATCTATTATTCTGCCATCTGAAACAGCCCCAAAGAACCAAATGGACAGAGTGATGGGTTTTAAGACTCAAGACATCGGATGACAGAGAACAGTGATCCGGAGAGAGAAACACAGGTGCCACCAGGTTGCTGCTCGTAGCCTGGAGGGGACCTGCAGGCTGTGGCACGGGGGACGGGAGCCCATGGAGCAGCGAGCCCGGGCCGGGCAGATGGGGATGGGGCCGGGGGGCTGGGGAGGGGGGCTGGGGGGACGATAGCCCTAGAGTGTGCAGGGCGAAGTGCCCGAGAGAGGAGACATGCACGGGGAGCACAGGGTCCCCTGAGGGCTTGGCTGGGGGCTCAGTGCACACGAGGCTACGGGGGACCCCGACGAGATCCTGCTTCGGGGTGCAGTGCTCGCGAAGGCCTTACTGCATCAGCGGCAAGTAACGCACCCCGCGCGAAATGCTGCCTGGTCCCACCTGCCGAGTCTTAAAAAGCAGGTGCCCAGGAGATCGCACTGTCCACAGGTGACTCGACCATGTCCCGGAGCAAACCTGAGGAATATTTCAAGGGTGCAAAATCACCCAGGTTCCAACAAGGTAGAACTCGCGACATGTGGAATCCAGTTAAAAATCACCAGACATCAAAGCGGCAGCAAAATTCAGCCGCGAGAGAGAAAATACAACCAATGGAAACTACCCCAGACCTGGCGAATGTTACAAAGAGCCGACGAGGACATTAAAACTGTGATCATAACCCCAAAAGCGAGGTAGAGACAGGAACGCTGTGAAAAGACCCAAACTGAACTCCCTAAAGACGACAATGTGTGGGGCGAGAAATACTCTAGGTGTCGGCCGAGTGGACGCTGCGGAGGACAAGGGGAGCCGGCTGACGGCGAAGCCACGGAAAGCAGAAGGGGACCACGCGCAGAGGCAAGAGGGTTAAAGGGTCCGTGTCCTCGGAGGCCTCGAAGGGGCGGAGCAGGAGAGATGCTACAGCCCACAGCCGAAAGTCCCAAGCCGTCTGAAAACGACGCGCTCAGAGCTGCGAGGGGCTGGATGAGCCAGGTCAGCAGCTGGGTGAGCGAGCAGGTGCACCGTAGCTGCACCCGCGGGACGACGCGCCCAAAGCCGTCAGCCAGCGCGACACCCTAGTTATAGAGTAAAAACCGCCGAGCCCACACCCGGTGCAACAAAAACACGCAGTAAGACAAGGGACAGTTCCGACCAGGTGCCGGTGGCGCTGCCTGCAGGGGCCGGGCGGGCAGCTGGACGGGTGTGAGGTGCCGGCACCGAGGGGTTCCCGTGGGAGGTCACGAGGGTTATTTTATTATGTAGATGAGTAACTAAGAAGTAGCCCCGTGCGCTGATAACGAGAGAGGGTTGTGCGATGCGCATCCGAGACGCAGAATTTAAGAAAATGTCTGAAAGACGGTGGGACCCGGAAGGCCCGGGGCGGGTCCCACACCAGCCCCGAGGTAACGGGGAGGCGAGAGGCCGGCTGTGCAATTCCCAGAAGTGACCCAGGAAATGGACCCACAGACCCTGGACACACAAGATATCTCAAGAGGGACAAATAAATAAATAGAACTATTTGTAATATCTTTATGATAATGTAGATAAAAATAAACCTATGACAGACACATCAGAACTGCAGCACCAAAAGCACAGGGAACGCGAAAGTGTCCCAGCCCACGGCAACCGTGCCCCGCAGACCGCGAGGTCTGTGACAACTGACACAGCGGTGGAGAACTAACGTCCTCAAGATGCCGAGAGACCGTAGCCGCCAACCGGAAAGTCTCCTTCCCGAGCGAGGGCGGAAGAAAGACGTTCGAGACTCTCGGAAGAGTGGATGTTCACCAAGAGCCTTCTTAGAGGAATGTCGGAAGGATTTATTTTGAAAAGCAAGAAGATGATTCTCAAAGGAAAGATGCATATGCTGATAAAATACGACGAACAAAGATTAGACGTGCACAGCAATCCTAGGGAACACGTCTATCCAAAATAGCAATAATAACAATAACAATAATAAAAAAGACAGAAATAGAGTATTGGGCACTCATAGCATATTCGTCAGCAGAAAGAAGATTTAATCTGTAACATTCAGAATGGGGGCTGAGATTTGTTTCACTTCATGCCTGGACTGAAATATGCATGGCACAATTTTAAGCACAACTATTAAAGGAATAGAATAAAGTATATCAGTTCTAAACAGATATAGAAAAAAAGACAGAATAAGGAAAAAACCCCTCCAAACAATCAATCCACATAAAGGCAATAAAGTAAAAAAAATAAACATTAAAAAAATGGGACAAATGGAGTTATAAAGATAGTAAAATCCAGACTAAATATGTCAGTACTTACCACAAATAGAAATGGATTCATCTGCCTGTCAGAGTAAAAAATTCCAGGTATACGCAAGTTTTGAGAAAGATAGCCAAATTGTAAGAACCCTGAGAAGTTGACAGTTAAGAGCTTGCAGGAGATATTTCGGGTCACCTCAAAGACGCCTAATGCAGCTGTATTAGTCTCAGACAAAAAGGACTTTAAGAGTAAAAGCATCACAATGGGGAGAGGACAGCTCAAGTCACCAGGAAGGTGTGACAATTCTAAACGTGTATCTACCCCAGAAAACAGCCTCTTATCGTATGAAACAAAAACAGGTCCATCTGCCGGGGAAAACTGGATGAATTTGCTCTCAAGGTGCGATACTCCATAAACATCTCTCTGCTCATGGTGAAGCAGAGTTAAATCAACAAAGCTGTAGAAGATTTGATATATTAGGATGCATAAACCTAATCTAACGGATGGAAGGAGAATTGTGTGTCGATCGTTAGATATACACACTCATCTAAAGATACACGTACTATTTATAAAGTGATCTGGAACTCGGCCATAAGGAAGTCTCAACATACTTCAAAGAATAGGTAGCATAGATGTCTGAGTGCAATGTCGTTAAGTTAGTAATTAATAACAAAAAGATAAATAACACATCCCCATACATTTAGGAATTTAAAGCAGACTCGAAGAAGTCACAATGATAACGAAAATATGCTTAGAACTAAATGATAAGAAAAGTACTGTTAAAAGCTGTGGAATGCAGCCAACAGAGTCTCTGGAGGGAAATTCATAGCCTCGAATGCTTATGTTAGAAAAGAAAAAAAGTTGAAAATTAGTGATCCGAGGTCTAAATTTAGCTGTTGGCGAAAGTATAACAGAATAAACCCAAAGAAAGAAGCAGGAAGAAATGATAAAGACAGGCGTGGAGCCCAATGAGAGAGAAAGCGGAGTGAGAACAGCACCCCGCACCTGCTTCAGCGGAAGTTCTCCGTCCCCGCGCCTCCCCGCTGGCCCTGCCCCAGTCCCGCCCCTTAGACGGGTTCGGGCGGGCGCGTCTGATCCTGGAAGGACTGGTCATCTGCAGCCACAGCTGACGTCAGCGCCCTGAGTGGGTCCTCACCTGGGCTGGCCATCCTGTGGGGTGGTGGGAGAGGGGGTGCCTGCCAGGCCACCTCCTGCCAGCTAGCTGTGTGACTGCGGGGGGTTCCTCAGCCTCTCTGTGCTTCAGGGGCCCCACCTCGGTAGAGAGAGCGACGACTCACCTGGTAGGCCGTGGGAGTTAGAACGTGCCGCACATTTACTGTCTCTGAACGGCTTCAGGACCATTTCTGCACCTGCTCTAGAGCAGGTGGCAAACAGGTGTGGAAGCTCACACAGCTCAGATGGCTCCCAGAGGTAAAGCGAAGGAAGGAATAAATGGTGCCCCAGGCCTGGTGGACCCCCACTCTCCCCCACCTGGAGCCTCCCCTGCTCTCCCCCAGTCTCCCTGCCCAGCCCGCCCCTGACATAGCAGTGAGTGAGTGACCCTGTCAACTGTCATCAAGTCCCGGCTCCAGACCTCCCGGAGCCTCTCCTGCTCCGCTGACCTTCTCCTTTGCTTGTCCCCTGGGAGGTGGGCCCTGCTCTGCCCACCCCTGGAGCCTTTCCCTGTGCTGCGCCCCACCTGGAATGCAGACCCCACCCCGCACACAGGTGTCTGCTCAGATGCCACCTCGCTGGGGGCTCCTGCCCTAAGCCAGGCTCTGTCCCGTCTCTCTCCTGGTGCCCACCTGCACCTGGGGCATTCGCCTGCTGCCCACCCCTCCTCAGGACAGGGGTCTCGGAAGGTGATCTCGGGGAACATTTGCTGAATGAATAAATCAGCCTCCTAGCTTTCCTGTGATGCTCTGCCTGCGTCCTGGCCGAGGGGACAGGGGACGCTCACTCACCGTGAACTGGCGCACCTCCCCTCCGTCCACCAGCTCGTGCTCCTTCTCGGGCGTGATAGCGTAGGCCACTTTCTGGGAGAGACAGAGAGAGCGTGGGCTCCGGGTGAAGGTGACCCCAGCGGCCAAAGCTAGGCCCCAGGGTCCCTGAAGCTCCCGCCCACGCGGGAGGGAGGCACTGGCCTTCTGCCACGCTGATTCTGGAAGCTGGCCTTCCTTGCCCGCCTGCCCGAGCGCCCACACCGGCTGGTCCTCCAGGCCTGCCTCTCACAGCCGCATTCTCGGACGCCGAGGCCAGCTTTCCTCGCCAGCGTCACAGCCCCAGGGGACCTCCCCACAGTCCTGCCCGTCTTGGCTACTGACTGAGCATTTATGTGGCCGATGTTCAGAGTGTGGCCGGGGAGGTGACGGGTCACCGGGAGTTGCCGGTGGCCTCATGATCGGGTGCCCGGGCGGGGCGGGGCCCTGGGCACAGCTGTACCTCGCGCAGGGACCCGGGCAGGCTGCAGAGCTTGTAGGCTGCGTAGACAGGCACGAGAGACATGGAGGATGCGGCGACAGCCCAGCCCAGCGCGTTGGCCCACTCGGGGAAGACGTAGTCTCCGTAGTGCGGGGGTCTGGAGGTCACGACGCTGACCACGACCACAAACTGAAACCGAGGGCAGAGGTCAGGCGGCAGCGACTGGCCGGCGGGCATGGGGGCGCCTGGCCTCCACGGCTCGAGGGGCCCCGCTGTCGCGGACAGCGCTGGCCAGCTGTGTGTCCTCTCGGTTCTTGGTCTGACTGGTGTCGCTCTGCCCGTGGGACGGGTCACTCCTGAAGGTCCAGACTCTCTCCGGCCTCAAGGCAGAAGTCCAAGGCCTCGCTCCCCCCGGGTCTCATGGGGATGGGGGACGCCTTCAGGAGGTCAGGAGACTTCAGGGGCCAGCCCGTCCGCCCGGAGCCCACCTCGGAGAGCCTGGTCTGCGGGCAGCATGGAGCACCCCAGGCTTAGGCACATTTACTCCAGGAACACCCGCGGGCGGCCACCACGGGCCTGGGGCAGAGCGGGGAGCCCCCCGGCCGGCGGCCCCTTACCAGGAGGAAGCAGGGGCTGACGAATTTCCAGCACAGCCGCCAGTAGAGGCTGGGCCGCTGCCCGGTCATCTGCTTGATGTCATCGCTGAACTGCCACACGCCTGGGGGCCAGCCGAGCAGGACAGTCAGGGCACGTGCCTTGTCCTCGCTGACCCCCGGACCGCTCCTGCGGGGGCCAGCCCACTGCAAACCACCCACACGTCCCTGTGGTGACGCTGGGTGACATCTGCCCCTCGACCCTGACGGTCCGTCCCTCAGGGAGACCTGTGGGGCCCCAGTGACCGCTGTCCGGCCTCCTCCCGCCTGAGGTCCGCCTCCCAGGGCTGTCTCCGCCTTCTCTCTGAGTCGCTGTTTTACCTTAAAAACACTGTGGCAAAGTGGACACGATGTAAACTTGCCCCCGCAACCATTGTAAGCGCACGGTTCCACGTATGAAGTGCGTTCACACTGCTGTGCCGCCGTCACCACCGTCACGTCCAGGACTTTGTCCTCGTCCCAGTCTGAACCTCTGTCCCCGTTAAACACTCACCCCCCCCGCACCCCAGCCCCTTGCGAACCACCATCTGCTGTCCCTGTGAATCTGACCCTCCAGGGACCTCGTGTGAGTGACGTCACATGACGTTCGTCCTTTTGTGCCCAAAGTCCCCCGTGTGGCAGCCCGGGTCAGCATCCCTTCTTTTTAAGGGCTGAACACCACTCTGCTGTGTGCACGATCATTACTTTTGAAGAAAATCTGTTTCTAGGTGACCGGGACTTCCTCCGGGAGCCCGTCCATGTGGTTTCTCCCGGCCCGAGTCCGGCCCGGCCTCCGGTGTACGGCCTCGGCCAGTCCGCCGAGCGCGCGTGGGCACGTGAGCGTCGCATGTGGGGACATGTCAGAAAGTCCGTCGTCACATGTCGACCCGTCATTAGAACCCTTGACACGGAGATGGCCCGAGAGGCAAAGGGGCACGGAGAAGGGGGACCCAGAGGCCAGCAGAGAGGGGGGAGAGCGTCCACCTGCGGCCCCTCGGCCCCTCTGGACTCAGCCCCTTGAGCGATCCGGGCCGGCCCTGCTTGGCGTGGGGCCATCTGCTCTCGGACCCACAGGGCCCTTGTGCCCTAGACGGCGGCGCATCCCGGAGCGATCCGACTGGAAACGCAGGTTTCACTTCATTTAGATCACGGGGACGTGGGGGCTGTTTGGAGCAGTAACGCAGGCCTCTGACCCGGAGGCTGTGCGGTCCGGCCACCACTGCCCGGCCAGCTTCCCTCCAGCCTCGCCAGCACGGAGTTCACGGCTGGGGCCCTTCAGAGGTGCCCCCCTTTCTCCGTGAGCTGTTCCTTTGAGGGTGGGTATAAGGTGGCACACGGAGTGGTTCCGGGTGCCAGTGCAGGCACAGAGCTCGACGTGCCCCTTTCTGCAGGAAGCGAAACCACTGAAAAACGCTCTCAGGTGCGTCCCCCGCCAGGCTAAGCCCCTCGAAGCCAGTGCGAGTTTTAGGCTGCAGTTTCCCGGGCTCTGAGGCAGAGACGTGACCGGGTGCCTCTGCGGCATGCGGGGTCCCGCCGGGCCGGGTGTGAGCAGCACCGCGGGCCCGAGCCTGGCGCACGCGTGCACAGGGCAACGTCGTGCTGCCAGAGCTTCCGCGCCAACTCCCCCACGCCGCCTGGCCTGCCGAGCTCGGCAGCACCGCAGCCTTTTACGGAAGAGAAGCGGAGGGTGCGAGGCGCGGGCCGCCCAGCCAGCGCGCGGGGTCAGCGGGGCTCCTCTGGCTCCTGCTGCTGCCGTTAACCTATGCTGGGACACCGCCCCAGGAGGGCAGGGGGCCAGGCCTGCAGGTGGTGCCGAGCCTCGCCTGGGGCCGCCGCCCGCCAGCAGGTCAGAGTCCTAACTTGTGACCGAGTGGCTGGACCGAGGCGGGTCTGGGGTCTGGGCGCAGCGGCGTCCCTGAGGGATCAGGGTCCTGCGCCTGTAGGAGCCAGTGCGTGAGCAGGGGCGCTCTGGGACACGCCGGTTGGTGGACGGCATTTGTTGACCATGTTGCCCAAGGGGGACCTGGCTCAGCTGGTCGTCTGGGGTCTCAGTGCTGGCTGCCTCCTGGCTGGCTGGGCAGGGGCCTTGCCCTGGCCAGCAGTAGTGTCCCAGTGTCCCAGGGACCCCTTCTTTCTCAAGAACCAGTCAGGATGTCCGCACGGCATAACTGTGTGGCCACATGGGATGCCTCTGACCGCAGGAAGGATTTGGGGTGCCATCTGGGCTGTCTTCACCAGTCCGAAGGAATGACGGTTGCCAGGCCCCCTGTCCTCTGTGATGCAGTCTCCACGACTTAAGCTCTCTGGACCTCACAAGTGTCCCTGTTCAAGCCGGCTTCACCCAAATGGAAGCCGCACGGCCATACAGCAAGGGGATGCCACGCCCACGATCACAGAGATAGCACAGGGTCTCCCGCCCGCTGACGCACGGGGCCCCGGGATAGGCCCCGTCCTTACCGTACAGCCAGGCTACCCCGATGGCCTCGATGAGCACTCCGAAGAGGATGGACGTGCCGGCCGCGAAGTGGTCCAGCAGCGTGAAGACATAGATGCCACCCTGGAAGAGGGGGCGCCTGCTG